AAAAAAAAAAAAAAAAAAAAAAAAAGACAGAAACACTCACCAAGACAATAGCTAGGAATAAGAGTTGGAAGCCAGGCCACATTAGAGAAGGCTGAGGTATGAAGTGAGTTAATTCGAGCCAATTCAGATACTCCTCCAGTGTACGACAAAGGTCCTATGGGGTCTACACGCCATAAAATCAGCTCGCTATATATTGCATTTGGATCATGGAATGTACGTGTTGCTGCATTTCTAAGTTGCTGCCTAGAAGAACCCTTCAAATGCTTAACAGGATCCATTATTTTGCTTAATTTAGCCGAGTCCCACGAATGGTCTAATTCAGGAGTTAAAAGTGCATTGTGATGAGAAGATGTTAGCAGCAGTGGTAAGACAGAATGGCAAGCCAGGTCATTGAGATGAAATCGGTGACCACAGTATCTAAATTTATGAGATACAGTAAGCACGGTGGTAAAAGCAGATTTGTCGGCAAAAGTAACTGCCCACTGGTTTAGGGATCCATCTATATGTTTGGAAACCATCATTACTCTAGGAGAAATTATATTCACATTTGTGGGATCCTGAGCAGAACTTGGTTCATTAACTTCTGAAGTCTTATTTGGAATGCTCATTGTTTTCTGATGCACAGTATTACTGATATCTTTTGCAGTGGTAGGACAAGCATACATCATGATGTTTTTACTGAGGGAACTAGCATCTCCCGATGGAAATGCAACAGGAATCCGAGAAGAAAATGAAACCTAAAATAGGGTATAAAATAGTGAAAAGATTAATTAAAATCTAGCTTATATGAAACACAAACCTATCATAAAGCATAATATATTTTTGCTAAGAAAGTATTACTAAATTCAGATAAATATATGTTTTAATAGCAAATATTCAATGAATATCTATTCAGATGAGGCAAAAAAATATGAAGCTTTCCACAACACTGTACCTGAACTTGTCTGAAAATGCCTGGATTGTATTCATCCAAATATTTTACATGCCACACTAAAAAGGTACCATCAATAGGGTGGATAGTAAAAAGCATATCTGGATTCCTGTTCCACTCAGTAAGAAGCATTTCGATTTTCCGATCTAACAAAACTGTTGGAAGTGGCATACGTGGGCCGGCTAAAGAAGAGGTTTTGGGGCTCCCCTCTCTTTCTCCTTCTTCATGTTCTGAAGAGCCTGTACCAGTACCTGTCTCCGATTCTCTATCTATAGATATTTCTAAAACAGACAAGAAATACATAAACCATGTTATACTGCAGCAAACATGACTTTCTGTCATAGTTTGTATTCAAAATAACAGATGATGACAAGGCCTTGCATACATTAAAAGTAGGAAAGGTTGTTGGTTGTAGCCATGGTGGTCTCAGGACATAGGCAGATATGGTTCTTTGGGTAGATGTAGTATCTTTTTTTAGACCACCTAAATAGTTGGAAAAACTAGGGTGGCCTTCATAGAGGACAGTTTGGTTGTCCTCTATCCTCTATTCATACAAAACCCAACACCTTTATGTCCTCTATTTTTCTCTTCAGGAGAAAAATAGGACATAAAGGCATCAGGTTTCATGTCAAAAGAGGACAGAGGACAGAGTAGCAGAAAACTGGAATGTCCTCTGTGATGGCCACCCTAGCACAAACACCTTTCTTCAGGCATACGGAGAGCCTGTTGGTGTTTGTGTGCTCTCCTGGGTAGAATGGAAGCCAATATGCAAAATGTAGGTCTACGATCCAAGAATGACGATGTGTCTGTTGCAGGGCATAGTTATTGTGGGAATGTTGGAGATGTGTTGGCAGGTTTTATGTTGACTGTACTTTTGAAAGAGCCACCCAGATACCACGTGAAGAACTGCTGCGGTACAAAAAGAAAATCCCCACGAATTGCACACGATTGGTTAAGACATACCAACCATCCTTCCCTGGAACCTATAAGGAAAATCCTCAAACAATTGCAGCCCAAACTAGAGAAAGACCAAATTCTCAAAGAGATCTTCCCGGAACAACCATCCTTGCCTTTAAACAAGCACCACACCTGGCCAACCTCATAACCAGAAGCATGCTTCCTATGGCCCATAGCACACTGAATGGATCCAGACCATGCCGGGACAAAAAATGTAAAACCTGCCAACATATCTCTAATACTGCCACAGCAACAACACTCAAAAACAGATCCATCACCATTCCTGGATCTTACATCTGCACCTCCAGAAATGTAATATATCACATCCAGTGCACTAAATGCCCTGATGGAAAATAAGTAGGAGAAACAAAACAACTGCATACCAGAATGAATGCACACTGAAAATCTATCAAAGACAAAAATACCCAACTACCTGTCCCACGACCTGTCCTACCTTGCACACTTCTCCCAAGACAACCACTCTCTCTCCAATCTCTCAGTTCTAATCCTCAAAGGATATTTAAAAAAATACCTTTCATAGACAAGCCTATGAACTTCACTTCATAAGTCTACTGAATACAAAAAACCATGGACTAAATATAGACACGTATGGCACATTATAGCCTGCTTGCCATCTGATAAGTCCAGGTAACCTGTCTGCATTTACCAGCTATATTCTATCACCAGTTATACATTCCTCCTGCCCCCCACCTCTCACCTATTGTCTCTCATTCTCTCAGATCCTCACTGCCAGGCATTTTCACAGACCTGCATTCTGCATATTGGCTTCCATTCTACCCAGGACAGCACACAAACACCAACAGAATCTCTCTATGCCTGAAGAAGGGTGTTTGTGCTTGAAAGCTTGGAAAGAACAATTTTTCCAACTATTTAGTTGGTCTGATAAAAGATCTACCCAAAGAACTATGTCTGACTTAAAAGCAGGAACCATCTTTTGTTCTGTACCTGTTACAGTGCCTACCACACACAATCAGGTGCTGGTTCTTGACTGGAACTACCAGGCACTAAAGCAACATGCAATATTAATTGTAATCAACAAAATCTATGCATTTAAGAAAGTAAATAAATCCTCTCTGACAAGATAGAGAGATTACTCTGATCAACTATACCAACATTTCTTTTTTATTCCAACACTACAAGCTTGATCCTAGTCCTAAAATTATTATAGTTGTTTAAGGCAAAGTGACTATGATAAAATGTGCAGTATTTTATGAGTGATAAGAAAAACGACTGTGTGTACAGCGTAGGAATTGCATTGCCCTTAAGTATTACATTGATGCCCTTGCTCAGAAAAATCTGCTTGTTGTCAGCAGTTTGTTGCTACTAAACAAACTTACCTGACTCTGAAACAAATGTTTCTTGTTTTAGAATTTGTCATTTTTCCCCATTAGTTTCATTTATAGCATTAAAAAAAAATCTTAAAAAGTAGATAGAAGTAAATAGCATACTCCAGCCTACCAAGCCTTTGGGCTGAGCTGCATTAATTTGGCCTGCTGTTGCTAAAGGGTGGCTAACCCCCTGTTCTACATTATGGTGCTTCCTAACCTTTCAGCATATCTGTTAAGGCCAGCATATCTTAATACTGCAGTACACTCTGACTCACACTTCTTAAGTGTAAGTGAAGAACTACTACACTGCTGAATTTACTGCTGTTGAGCAGCACTGAAAAGTCTGTTGGTTCAATGTTGCCTAAAACATAATGCCTGGCCTGAAACCATGCCTGGCTTAACACATTCTCCAAAAATCACACAATCTCAACTATATTTGGGTGTTGGTTGTAGCTGTATTGGTCTAGAAATGTAGGCAGACAAGGTTCTTTGGGTAGATCTGATATCTTTTATTAGATCAACCAACTATACTTGGGCACTTTGCCATATACGACCCCCGGCCCTTCTCCGCATATTGTTTCAGGCTGCCTTCATACTGAGGCAACTTATCAGTAACACTGGCTTCACATTTCAGAGATTAGCAAGAGGTAGTTAGTTTGCAGGTAGAAGGCTGGGCAGGATGGCACATTAAAAGACTAACTTGTTCAGAAATTTCAAGGATTGTTTTCAGCCACAGTGAGTAGTTAGATTTTTGGAACAACTCAACACCATGGACATTTCAGCAAACAACTGGCTGACATTTGTGGCTTTATTGCTTGAAAGTCAGTGAATGGCAATGCAGAAGTTTACTGGCATGCTCCCATTACGTCATGTGCTGATGGATACAGAAGAGAAAAAAGCAGAAGAGAAGGACGAAGAGTATAAAGCTTTAATATTTTTAATGAAAGATGAAAAACTAGATGGGTCCATCACAACAGGTGGGGGTTATAGCCACAATCTGAAGGAAACCAGTTCAGACACTGATTGCCACCTCAGCCTCTTTCATTTTATTTTCTTGATATTTGAAATGTGGCTCCCTTAAATCTAGCAAAGGTACTGACCCAAAATGATTAACCTTTTCTTACTGTCTGTAAATGCCACTTTCCATTGTTAAAGGAAAGAAAGACAACTTTTGTTAATAATATTAGGTAGATGATTTAATTTAGATGGGCAGATTCTTCCAAAGAGCACAGTTTAAATATATATAATTTCCCCAAGGAGACTCCAAAAAGGATGCAAAAGACAGAATAAGCAACTACAGATATGTAAACAGACATGCAACAGTCTTTGGTCTTCCCTAATGTAAAATATAGGTTTTCATTTTATAGACCAACCTTTCCCTCAGACTATGTATACCACCATTCTCTTGTATATCACATCTTCTACAGAGGGAGCATTAGATACATTCAGTGTATTAGCTTGTTGTGCAGAATAGTGGTTGCAGGCTCCAGCATATAAAAGCTCAAGTATAAATGTATATATGTAAATGACATTACATATTAGGGGTGCACTGATAAAGATTTTTTGGCTGATACTGATGGCTGATTATTAACCAGCCATATCAGACACTACCAATCCGATAGCCGATATGCAGCCCAGCAGCTCAGAAAGCTGCTGGTACGTCTGCGGGGGCATGGAGAGAAAGGGCGTGGCCCCCAGATCAAGGCCCCCACAGTAAGGGAGGGGCTGGGGCAGGTGCTGCCCAGCTGTGGTGGGGCAGAGTGCAGGATGGAGCCACAGGTGGTTCATCCAGGGGGTGTGGGGGAAGGGATGGATCCTGCTGCTGTGTGCACCCCTGGAGGAGTCACAGGGGGTCACATGCGCCCCAGATTTGTGTGTGGGGAGAAAGCGGGTTGCCCACTGTGGGCTTGCGGGCTAAGGGCTGTGTTGGTCTCTTCCTCACAGGCAGCTGGGCTGTGGTTGTACTTGGGGCAGGCTGGGGCAGCGGTGGGGTGGGTGGTGGTGCTAGGAGGGGGCTCCTTCCTCCCAGTATCACC